TTGGGTTCCTTTAAATCAGAGCTAGATAAGATTTTAACAACTCTGAGCTATTAGTTAAGTTCTCCCCAAGCGAGCTCGATGGGCCAAATGGCCTCCTCTCGTTTGTACTGTATAGTTCTTATGTTCTTATGTTCACTACTAAACATAACTAAAAAAAAACTGATCCGTATGATAAAATGAGTTTGTCTGATATAGGATTACAATATTCGTTAGTTGCATGCAGGGGCATCAGAGGAGCATGGATACCATGACAGATTCAGGGGGCTCAACACTTTGTAGGGGTGCCAAAATCCCCCCCCCCTTGGCAAAATCAACAGAGTGACTGAAAGTGCATGCTCAGCGAATTGGCCCCAGTAATGCATGGATTCATTATAAATCATAAATCATGTTATTATTATTTTTTCTTTTAGGAAGGGGGGCAGTTTGCCAATACTGGGGGGAACACGTCCCCTCCGTCCCCTGTTTCCGATGCATGTGAGGGGGTTACATACTAGCTAAGGTACTATGGTATTCTGTATTGTACGTTCTGCAACTAAAGCATGTGAAAATTATTATAAAAACAATTTGTTGTTTGCAGAAATACACACATTCAGTGCAAAGAGTGCACTTTGCTTGGGTGGGCAGCAAGGACTAGAATTCCATTGAGGGAAAAGATATAACTGATCAAACTTGCGCAATCATCTACAGAGCTTAGTTAAAAGTCCCAGAAAAATACTGAACTGGAAGGTTATTTCTCTATCAACGCGAATCTTAGCCTATCATACAAATTCCCCTGCCAGCATCTGCGCTTTTAGTTATGTATGTATTTATGTTTAATTGACTACTAGAAGCCTTCATATGCAGTCCTGTATGCAGAGTTGATATTTGGAACATCAGATTTTTTGGGCAATATTCCAGACAGAGCCTGTTTCAGTTCCTTGATTTATTACATCTATGTTTCTCAGCTGTTGGCTCACAGGGAGTGTGGTTTCCCCCCCACCCCCCCCCTCCCTGTCGGTTGACACCTTTTACCAGCCACCCCAGAACTAATTCTCTATACCATGCGCAGCTCTAAATACTTTGCATTACAATCAGGGGTGGATTAATATACAGGTCATCCTAGGCTACGGCCCATGGCTCCGGCAAACATCAGGGATCCACCCCACCCCGCCCTGGAAAAAATGGGACAATTTGTTAAATTGGCAACACCTGAGTGTCCCTACTGATGTTAGGCCCCAGATACACGAATCAGCCCCCCGATTACAACCCTCTGAACCTTGTGAAGGTAGAATGTTGCTCATTGAGAGGGATGGGGAAGTGGGGCGGGCAAAGGGGGGGTCTTGGTCCCTGAATCCCAGAAGACCTGGGTGTGGCGTGTGCATGCAGGAAGGCCCGCCCCCTTCTGAGCAGGTTTATTAGCAGTAGCGTAGTGAGGAGTGCGAGTTTATCTCTGACACTGCACTGTCTGCCATGGCTCAGCTTCCCCTCACTGTGCTGCTGCTTCTCCTGCTTCCAGCGGTGAGTCGTCATTACTGACACGCCTGGGCGTCTGTTCTGTTTTCGCAGTTCTAAGTTAAAGTAATGCCAGCCTCCGCTAAGACGTATCTCCATATTATGGTCAGAGCATGGGGGGGAAAAAACCTTGTTTTAGGGGATGCCTTAGAGTGTAAGAGTATGGAAAATACTTACGGCTACAATGAATATTTTGAGAAATATATTGTGACAACGTGCGATTGGAATAGCATCCTGTCCCCAGCCTTGTGCCCTGTGATACCCGAGATAGGCTGCAGGTCATACCATGACTGTAACTGTGATCGGTAAGAAGATGCATGGATGGATGGATGGATGATATGACAATTCATGCTAATGTAAAAATGCTTTAAGTAATAATTTTAAGAAATATGCTTTGGTGGAATTTGACTTGCTAATTAGTATTACAAATATATGCTTCACAGAAGGTGTAATTATAAAGTTGTTGCACAAGATGTTGTACATTTGCCTCTAAAAGAATGCAGGGATGGTAACTTTTGGGTATTAACCAACCTTTGCTTAACTTCTTCAGAATAAATACTATGTTTCAGAAGAACCTTGTTTGGTTGTTACTGTTGACTGAGAGTTTGTAAATTACTGAATTTTTAGAAGAATTGTTTTGATTTAATAACATAATATCTGAGTAATACCTTCGTCGAACCATCTATGCTTTCATTTGTTTTCCAGCAACGTTCCCATTTCAGGGTCATGGGAATGGTTTATGTCTCTGAAGAGAATTAAATTAAAATTTTAAATGTAATTACATTTTGAAAAGCTTTGTGTTGCATTGGCATATGCTTACGGACACATAAGCATTACAAACACGTAATACCTCGGTATAATTTCAGGTAGCTAATGTGAAGGTTGCTTATACAGGAATGAGGCTTTCATAATGCACGTACGGCATCACTGACTATCAAGACAGCTATTACTTGCACTACAAATATTTTATTTAATTCAATTCAGATAATGGAAGATGAAAATATAATTTAAATTCATGAATACTAAATTACATAATATTAGTCAAGCTAGTAAGTGATAACTGAAAGATTAAGCAGTGGTTCAGATTCTTAGTTTATAGGGGCGAAAGGGGTCTGCAGAAATCACAAGAAGGGTGATTCTGTTGTACCCTTCTTCACTGACTTTTTTCCATCGCCTGCAACTTAATGATAAGCCAGGATGGCCTTGTGATGCATTTTTTTTCACTGTGTACAGGTCTTTAAGGTAGAGGTGGAAGCCCAAAGAAGAAAGAGAGAATGGATCATTCCCCCAAGAAAGCTGAAGGAAAATAAGGACTACACAAAAGAGGAGTTTATCTCCAAAGTAAGCTGGTAGAATCCTTCTGTTCTGTCGGATCACTTTGTTTCGGACACGTCGGGGGCTGTTTAAGGTGTCTAAGCACATCCCCCTTTTGTCCGATGTCTGAACAATCAAAAGTGTCCCACTTTAGAGACCCTTTAGAGTCGCCGCTGAAAATACTGTTGGTGCATTTTACCGATATCCAATGGGCACACGGTGGAGAGCCTGGCCTCCAACTCATTGTACAGCACTGCATATTTCTATTGGTTTGTCAGCATTAGAAACCATTTCTACAGAGGAAAATTATCTAGAAAATGTTTTAAAAGCACTTAAAGCAAAGCCTGAATAACTGAAGGCTATTTGTATTGCATCGATCTTCTACTTTGTTTTGACTGCATTTTGATCACTTGTCAAATAATAGAAGTGCACATTCTGCTCTGGACACTCCTCTCGGTATCATTTTACTATTTGTTATCTATACGTTTACTCATCTTATCTTATCCCATCTTTTTGTAGATTCAATCTGACCGAGAAACCAATGTCCAGCTGATTTATTCTTTGAAAGGAGTTGGGGCTGACCAGAAGCCTTATGATCTGTTTACCGTCAACAAAACATCTGGGTTTATAAGAATTAACGGAATATTAGACAGGGAAGAAATTCCTGTATATAATGTAAGTGTGATTACTGAATATTATTACATTGTGCATTATTGCCTTGTGACTTTCAATGCTAGTGATCATATCATTTCCTCTTAGCTGGTAGGTGCTGCCAAGTACCTAAATGGATCATTGGCAGAAAAGAACATAGACCTGAAAATTCAAGTTGAGGATGAAAATGATAACACCCCCATATTTGAAAAATTGTCCGGATCTGTCAATGAATCAAGTGCAGCAGGTAGGTTTTCATAGTTTTTCATTACCATATTGCATTATCTCTTGAAAGGAAGTGCAACTGATTTATAGGTATTTCTAAACATTTGCGTTGACATATAACTCTCTTCGGACTTTAAAGGTACTTTTGTCATGAAAATAACTGGCATGGATGCAGATGAAGAAGGAAATCCTAATTCCCAGATTTCCTACAGTATCATCCGACAGGAGCCAACAGGACAAATGTTTTATATAGATAAAAAAACAGGAAATCTTTTTGTTAAAGAACCTTACCTAGATCGAGAGGTAATTTTGACTATGTTCTTTTGTTGTTAGTCTGTAACACTATAAAAATGCATAATATGAAAAGAAAGCATTTTCATTAGAAATTATGTATAAAGATATATTGAATCTAAGTCCTTGTTTGTAAAGCCAACAATACAGAAGCAACAAAGGACAACAACAAAGCCCATGTCTATACAGATACTCAACATCATCTTCCATCTCCCCAGACACACAGCTCCTATATTTTAACTGTACAAGGTGCAGATTTGAATGGGGAAATAAATGGCAACACTGGGACAGGAACAGTGGAGGTGAAGATCCTCGATGTTAATGACAACGTGCCCATCTTGGAAAAGGATACGGTAAAACGATTTACTTCTCATTTAAATAGTTCTTCATTGTGTGTGTTTCTGATTGAATTGTATCTGAATCCTCTGTTCCCTCCAGTATGAAGGCAACATTGATGAGAACACAGCCAACGTAGAAGTGTTAAGAATGAAAGCCTTAGATAAGGATCTGGAGAATACTGACAACTGGCTGGCTGATTTCAAGATCATTTCTGGAAATGAGGATAACGTTTTCAGTATTGTGACGGATCCCAAGACCAATGAGGGAATTTTAATGCTTAACAAGGTATTTCTGTGTGTGTACATTCCTCAGTCATGTAACAATTTTCTTGTGTGATCTATTCTTCCTGTAACATCTTGTGCTTTTGTTATTCTTAAGCCACTGGATTATGAGAAGGCCAACCATCTTGAGCTGGGAGTTGCTGTTGGGAATGTGGCACCTTTCCGTGATCTTGCTGGAGCAGGATCTGGGGCAGTGGCAGGAGGTGGGGCTGGATCTGGGGGTGGAGCTGGACCAGGAGGTGGAGCTGGAACTTGGGGAGGAGCTGGAACTGGGGGAGGAGCTGGAACTTGGGGAGGAGCTGGAACTGGGGGAGGAGTTGGAACAGGAACTGGGGGAGGAGCTGGAACTGGGGGAGGAGCTGGAACAGGAACTGGGGGAGGAGTTGGAACAGGAACTGGGGGAGGAGCTGGAACTGGGGGAGGAGCTGGAACAGGAGCTGGAGTTGGATTTGGACTCGGCAGTAAAAGCTACACTATTAAGATCAAAGTAAATAACCTGCCTGATGGTCCATCTTTCAGTCCTGAGGTGAAGCCGATCCCTCTGTCTGAGGATTTCACTAAAAACACTATGATTGCAAAATATCCAGCTATTGATAGTGACACAGGAAAAGTTGCTGAAAATGCTAGGTACGTCCTGTCGTAGAAGAAAAGTGCATTATGTGCATAACAAGAGATGACTAATACAATTTATTTTGAATAATACAATAATTATTATTATTATACTTTTTCTATCCTGAATTTATTTGAACAATATGACTAAAAAAAATCATCTCATTAATTTCATTTAAATAAAGTGAAATCAGGCAAAATACAAAAATATACTGCATTATTGTATTTACTCTTTGATTTTTACAGGTACATAGAATTGTTCCATACAATCCATTGATTTTAATGGTATTATTTAACATGTACATATTTATAATTTCTCTTTTTTATTAACAGGTATGCTAAGTCATTCGATCCCGACAACTGGATTTCAATTGACGAAAAGACAGCAGAGATCAAACTTAACAAGCAGCCAGACAGAGAATCTAAGTTCCTTACAAACGGAACTTACTATGCAAAAGTTATCTGCATGACACAAGGCAAGACTCTGTACATTACCTACACAAGCTACCAGGCAGAGCAGTGATTAAGAACAAGGCATTGTGACTTTTTGGTTGCTAGTTCATGAACCTGATGGAGCACGGCTTAAATATCACTGAATATCACACCTTCATGTTTCTCTGTTTACATTTGTTATTCTAGATCTTCCATCTAAAACAGCCACCGGCACCATAGCCATCCAGGTTGAAGACACCAATGATAACTGTCCTCAGCTCACTAGTACTCACCAGTCCACGTGCTCGGATGCTAGCCACATCAGTGTCTCTGCAACTGATATGGATGACTATCCTAATGCTGGCCCATTTGAATTTACAATAGTCCCTGAAGGCACAAGTGGTGAATGGGAAGTGGAGCCTTATAATGGTAATTTTGTTGTTTCATTGAGGAACTTTCAGAAGATTGTTCTTACTACTATATTACTTTCACTAGAAAAGCATGCAGATGTGAGGAGTAGCTCTAAACACATCATAGTCACATTCTAGGTGTCCCTCATTGTCTCTTCACATGTTCTTCCAGACACCAGTGCTGTTCTGAAGCCCCGTGTCAACCTATGGCCTGGCTCCATGCAGGTAACATTGGAAATAAAAGACAAGCAAGGTCTGGCCTGTCCTGACAAACAGGTTCTTCACCTGGAGGTTTGCACCTGCATTGAAATGGAGTCTTGTAATATCCGTAAAGCTCGAGCATCCTCTGCTAAGTTATCCATGCCTGGAGTAGGGGCACTTATTCTAGGAGCCCTGCTACTACTACGTGAGTAAGATTCTTCTATGGAAACACTGCAAACGTTATTGAGACCTTGTAGACTAGACTAAGAGAACTCAGGGGATGTACAAACAATTGATAAACTCCAGAAGGAGAATCCTCAGCTTGTATATATATTATATATATTATTTAATCAATGCAAGAAATAACACCCAGTAATCTCTAGTTATGACACCAACTCTTTGAATGATGCTTGATATTTTCACTTTTGCATGTTGTGAAAAAAAAGAGATTTTTCACAACATAAGGCTTTTATTCTTCAGTATACAAAGGAAGTCTGCCTTTGTTTCAGATCGGTTTTTACATTTGAAATTTCCTTCTTCATTGTGTCCTCAGTCGCACTACTCTTGTTGCTGTTTTGTACCTGTGGGCATGCCAGTGATGGGATTCTGGGGGATTTGCCATTTAGCACTAAAGAATATCTGATTCCATACCATACAGAGCAAGTAGGGGATGACAAGGTAACTGGGCACAGCACTGATGTCTCAAAAGTATCAAATATTTCGAAATTTTGTCTGTGGTTTCCAAAGTGTGCAGACAAGTTTTGAACAGAATGAACTGTCTTTGTTTTTAAAGGAACTCCCACTGTTAAGTGTTCCTGACCTGATATCAAAAGATACTCATGAGCTGGTCACCACAGATAATAAGGTGTACGCCATCTATAACCAGGGATGGTACGATTCCATCAAAAAAGGACTGATTGAGACTGATTATGGAGTTCAGAGAGGGGTGATGGACCAAAAACATGGATCTGGAAGTTTCCTTTTCTCTGAGTTTTCAAACCATTATGGAGATGTGCTTGACGAAGTAGCCCTCTCTAATGTGTTCCTTAACCAGTACTACTCAAAGGTCAGTAACTCCACATATTTTATAGCTTACAGGTCTATCATATACAGAATGTTATTTTGTATTTCGTGACAAGTTACATACATTTCTAAAAGCAGTGCTCTCACAACAGATTCTTAAAAATAAATCTGTGAATATCTTTTTAATAAATCAAGTCAAATAAATCAAGCATTTGATTTTGAAATATGGTTATTTGCATAAATATTTTCCAGACAATATCATAAGCTTAAATAAATATATGGTGCCAATATTAGAAACAGCTATATCTACACAACACTTGGAATTTTAACTGCTGTATCTTCTCAATATTTTGCAGAAGACACATTTTGCAGCACATGGCGAAGCCCAAAATGACAGCTGTTTAGCATTCAGTTACGAAGGTGGCAACTCACCTGTGGGATCAGTAGGATGCTGCAGCATCACCGAGGTGGACAATGACCTCAGCTTCCTGGACGACTTGGACCCCAAGTTCGTGACTCTGGCTGAGATCTGCAGTCGGCCTCAAACTGACAATGAAGAGTCTGTGAGTGAAGTGAAGCACATCATTGTTGCTGAGCAGTACACACCAACTCCATTGAGCCCTGCAGAGAAGATTGTGAATGACAGCTATGTAGCAACCCTACCTTGTCAACCATACATCATACAGCAGCCTGTGTACTACACCACCACCCCTGTGTTACAATCCACTCACTTTGTTGTTGGACCTCAGGTTCATAATGCTATTCTGGTTACGGAACAGCCCTTAGATCCAAACATGCAGACCATATATGTTGTGGATCGTGCCCCAGGATCTGATAGCATGATACTGAAGGAGGAGAGGGTACTGGTAGGCCCAGCTTCTCCAGATGTTATATTTCCTGGCCACCCAGAAGCCCTCAAAGAGAACATTGTTTTACTTGAAAGAAAGGGTGCTTCAGGTCTGGTGGTACAAGAAGCCACTGCTGAACCAGATAAAGACCTTGTTGAAATAGGTAATGTTCCAGAGTCCCAGGATATCATACTCCCTGAAGGAGAATTGCCGGAAGACCCGTCAAATATTGAAGAATGGCCCCTGCAGGGGGGGGTCATCTGCACACCACAGCAGCCAGTGTTTATGGACATTGAGCGCTCAACTGAGAGAGACATGAAGGAACATTTGAAGAAAGAGGAAGACAATGAACAGAATGATCAGATGGTTCAGCTAGAAAGACTTATCAGTTCTACTGATCTGGAAAATCAAGAAAGAATCCAGAGTTTAGCAGATGATATAGCTGATTCGGGAATAGTAGGTGCAATCAAAGACCTGGGCAGCTCTTCTCATCCAGTGGAGGAGGAAAGTAAATTAATAACTGAAGAAATTGTGCGGGGAGAAAACAGATATGTTACATCTTCCGAACCAAAAGAAATAGAAGAAGAAGAAAATGAGAAGAAGAAAAGAGATTTGTCCATATCAGCAACGAAAGGTCTTCAAGAAGATAAGCTAGATTCTAAGGAAACAGTATACAGGGATATGAGCCTGCCTGAGTGTGTCAAGACTGGCATTGACTTCCAACAGGTTGCTATAGAACATGCAACAGTGCTAGATCAAATAGCCTCTGAAGAAGATGAAATATCTGAATCATCTAATAAAGAGGATGAGACACTGGATATTTTAGAAGAGCACATCATTACTAAGGAGAGTTTAGAAGGAGATATTTCTGTTTCCAATAATATTGATACAATGAAAATTCCACAAAGCTTTAGGCAGACTGGGGAGGGTGAATACTTAGAAACATTAGAACATGCAATATTAGGAATAGTTTCTAAAGATGTGTCACAAATGCCAGAAAATATCTGCCATAGCATTAAAGGGATGAAGGACAGAGAATTGCTTAGCTCAGGGGAAGAGGATTTTGAAGAGATTCAAGTTGTTTCTTTCAAAAAAGAGGACATGGATGTGTTAGGAACTGACTTGCATGACTTGGAAATTGAAAGTGAAACTGATTCTAAGATGACGGAAGATCAGTCAGTGTCAAGTTCCAAGTCTCAGGAGAGTGAGTTCTCTGCTTCACAAATAGAGGAGAACCAAGGAATTACTGGCCATATGCTGGATGAAAACATGTTGGAATTTGAAACATCATTTCTGGAGGGTCAGTTACCGAAATCACATATTGACTTTTCTGTTGAGACTGGCACTGATTCTATCCAAACTGTGGTAAAAGATGAACTGACATCATTGCAAGGAACAGTAGAACAAGGAGAAAACATGGAAGGGGTCAATCAGGAAATTGGTTTCTCTTGTGTGGAAACACAAGATATGTCAGAGTCTGATCTAGGAGCTAGCAGAAAGGACATTATTTCTGAGAATCAATCAATTCCTCGAGAAATTACGGAAGAAGATATGGCAGAGACTGAACCTGAGTCTCATGAAGCTATTGTAGAACATGAAACGCTAACACAGACACTAGCTGAAAATGCCTCTGAAGTTGGAGTAATGCCTGAATCATCTAAGGAATATCTTGTGAAGAAGGAGAAAACAGATGTCTTACAAGAGTGCATTAATACTGGCCAAAGTTCAGAGGGAGAGATACCTGTTTCATACACCTCAAATACTGACATGATTCAAGAAATCCATGAACAAGTGGTGGAGGAAGACAAGTCAAGACCAACCACAGTGTCCTCCCAAGAGGACCAGATGGAAATAAGTTCCCTTGAGGACCATGTTAGTGAGTGTCATGCAAGGGAACAAGATTCATCAGCATTAATTAATTTAATGGTGCAAGATGAAGGAGAACCAGAAAGCATCAGAGTTTCAAGACAGAAAGGAGCGGAACATGAGCTAGAGTGCAGTGGAAATTTCCAGAAATCAATACCTGGAATGGCTGACACTCAACAGACGCTGCTGACTCAACAAATGTTAGAACAAGAAGACAACCCCATTGACACTACAGAAGCATTAAGACAAGTTATTGGTGACCAAATGACAGAGAACAACGTATCAGAGTCTGTGGCACAGATCCTTGAGTCTGAAGAGCCTGAAACTGGTTCCCAACAAGCGAGTGCTGAAGGTCTGCTTGATTTAGCTATAAGACAGGTTGGCAAATCAGGGGATGACCAACTAGAATCAGAATCAGAGAATATTAGTTCAGAGGACAGTTCTGTCAGCACCGACCAAGAATTGGATGAAAAGGCCACAGGAAGTGTGCCTGAAGGTGACATGTCTGCATCCACAGAGAACCAAGCAGATGATGGTGGGTTACAGAAGGACCTTGAAGAGGATGCTCACAGCAAACCTGAAAAGGGTATTAAACGTAAAACATCCAAAGATAAAAAGCTTCTAAGCCCTAAAAAGTGTAATACACAGTGAATGTGGATGTACAAATATGACATATTGATATTCACAATATTACATCCATCCATTATTCAACTGCTTATGTTGGAATGGGGTGTTGGCTGAAGCCTATTCAGTACAGGAAGCACGCGCACACACACGCACGCACACACACACACACACACACATATGTATATACTATACATATATATAACATGTAACTGCTGCTTACACAAGTGTTATTTTCTATTCCTTTTAACAGACAGTCCCAGTTTGCCTTTATTACAGGGGAATCCAAGATGTAATAATATTGTGCATTGCGACTTAACTCAGCCATTCTGTCAAAAAGGGGTCTGGAATCAAGAATGTGTCCCATGTTAGGGAGCAAAAGGCAGGGTCTGCAGGAGGGCATGTCAAGGTTAACTTTCAGAGCTTTACACAGGAGTTTGTGCTTAATATAGGGAAGCCAGTTTTGCACTAAAATATTAACCCAGTAAACATACATGCCCCCTACTGGAACAATCATGTTAATACAGGTTCATTTCATCTTTCACATGGCATAGTGAAGTTGGAACATGTGCAAAGCCTGTTTTATCAATGATACACCAAGTACAGGAATGTGGTTTATACATAATCTTGAGTGACATGTGAAAAAAGAGAGTACAGTAAGGATAATCAAATGACACTTAAACTGGCACAACAATTTGGGTTTTTGAGTGTTTAAGGCTTTTTAAAGACTATGAAATCATTCATAACATTACAGATTTTTTTGATAAGCTTGTGACTTTAGAACTTAACATTTTCATTGCATTCTCATTTTCCCCGATGTGCTTTCTTACATACTTGTTTCTATAACAAATGAATTAAGACTAAGATTTATTGTTATTACTACCGTATAGCATTGAACGTGTGAAAAACAAGTCATTCAGACAGTGTTTGTTTATATTCCTCACAAAACAAACATGCTGCATAAAATTGATATATAGATCAGTCTATGTCCTTTCTTTTTAAGTAATTTGGTAACACTTTATTTGACGGGTCACAAATTATATAGTATTATACTATTACTTATGTATTAACGACAAACTAATTCTTAATTAAATACTGATCTCATTAATTCATCATTAATGAATCGTGATCTCATGTTTGTTCATTAATGAATCATAACATCTTAAGTATCAACTTTTTGTTCATGATTTGTTCATAATTTGTACTTTCGAGGTAGCCAAGTTACTACTAAGTATTTCTGACCCATCAAGTAAAATGTTACCAATAATTTGAATTGTTTGAAGCCTGTCGCAAAAAAAATTAATCTCTTTTTGGAAAACTTGAGTATGTTATATGTCTGCTTTGTTTCTGAAATACGCTCTGCAAAATAAAGATGCAGAGTCAGCACATGTGTTTTTCCAAAACCCTTATTAAATCATCACTTAAGGCGTGAAATCTCACTGACCATGTATCTTTTTGAATGAGATACTTTCCTCAGTGTCTTTACCACCCAGGGGCGTCAGAAGCATTTTGAATGTGGGGGGGGGAAAGAGGTCCAAATGAATAATTATGAAATGTGTGGGGGTCACGTCCCCCTCAGATTTAATGGCGGCGACGCCCATGTTACCGCCTAACAAACAAGATTGTTTTCAGGCTGGAAGTTGGGGTCATCTAAAAAATCTCCATTGGGATGCTTTCATCTTCAGCTCACATATAATCTTTGCAAAGTAGACCTCACCATTTTTCTCCATGTGCTTTCTACTAATAATTCACTATTGTTTGTGGCACTTGACATTTTCCCATGAACAGAAAAGGGCGTCGCTGTTCATAGTAAGTTCGAGCAATAAATTACTTTTACCCCACACATTTAACCACGTTTAACCACCAGTCATCATTCCTGATAGTTACTGTCACGTCAGCCTGTAGGGGAAATACTGATCACACCCAACACCAGCAAGCAAGTACTTGCAAAGGTGATAGGTATGCTGGTACGTAGCCAATCCTTTTAGGTTTGGACCGCTTGCATATATACTGGCTTATAATGTAAACTCAAGTTACCTTTCAAGAAGTGACTTTCTTAAGAACTCGCAGATACTCCCAATGGAATTTCTCCCAGCCATATTGAGTGCATTCCAGAAAACACTTCAGCGGGGTGTTACTTGCAACACCCATTAAAAAATGTATCATCTTAAAATGAGAATTTAAAGTTCTTAAAACCACTTTCCCCTAGTCTTTGATAAGTCAAACGCTTACCAGTGTCACGGGAACGTTTCGGTGTTTCATTCATTTTTAATGAGAACTTAACATGCAAATGAAATATAAACATTTCCAAGACTGTAAGGAACCAGTCTAAGGTCAGACATATTTTACGTTGCAGCACTTCTCACACCTGCAGTAATTACCCCAAAGCAGATTAAAATGCTAACTACAGTATTTAAAAACTAAAAGGTAGAAGTTCAGATTTATGCCACAAGGTGGCAGATGTCAGTTACAAACCATGGCCCCGTGGTGCAATTCGATCTCAGCATTTTACTAATAATAATAATACATTTCATTTATAACGCACTTTACATTTGCAACAAAACCTCAACAATCTAAAAAAAAAGAGCTATAAAGCAAAAAGTTAGGAATGATAAAATCTGCTAAAAAGGAAGGTTTTAAGTCAACAATTACACTGTCAGTAGATTGTGGTGCCCTCAGTGTGAGGAAGGACATTCCACAGGCAAGGCACAGCAGCACAGAAGGTCCAATTGCCCATCATGCTGAGTGCAGTTCTGGGGCGATTTGTGAAGAGCAGAGGAGTCGTGTTGTGGTTTCAGTTGTTATCAGTTCTTTTAAGTAAAGAGGAGCGTTTCCATAAATGCACTAGTGGGTGAGGAGAGAAATCTTGTACTCAATCCTGGCAGAAACAGGAAGTCAGTGAAGTGACTGAAGCACAGGTGTTATGTGATCATATTTCCATACTGTCATCAGGATCCTAGCAGCACAGTTCTGGATGTACTGCAGGCTTAGAAGACTTATTAGGGATCCCAATGAAGAATGCATTGCAGTAGTCCAGTCGGGAGGAGAAGAAGTCATGGACCAGCTTTTCTGCATCAGGGAGGGTGAAGGTAGGGCGAAGCTTAGCAATATTTCTGAGGTGGACAAAGAAGGTCTTGCAAAGGGGCTTAATGTGGTCATCAAAAGTGAGAAATGAATCCAGTTTTACACCAAGATTGGTGACTGATGAGGAGAGGGGAATATTGTGACCAGAGAAGGCAACGCTGGTTATGGATGATGCCTGAATTTCATGGGGTGTTCCTACTAGGATTGCCTCGGTGTTGGTGCCGTTCAACTGAAGGAAGTTTTGTTCCATCCACACCTTTATCTCCTCCAGACAGTTGGTAAGTGCAAATGGTAAAGATGATGGTGGCGATGATGATGATGATGATGATGACAAAGATGGAGTCACAGCTGTAGTTTTCACATTTTTTCTGCATTTCAGACTGCTTACCTGTCAGATCCTCTCTGAAGACTGTCAGTTTCTCCCAAACAGTAAGCAAAGATGCATTAGTAACACCACTGGTCTCCCATAACAAAGGTAGCAATGAGAACCTCATCAATAGACAGGGGTGTAGGAGGGCCATGGACGGCCGGGCAGAATCAGAGGGCTCAGCACTTAATAGGGGCCTCAAAACCTACTATCCCCACCTGCTCTGCAAAAGTGCCAAACCTAGAAAGGGGGCCCCAAATTCCCAGGTTTACCCCTGCTGATAGGCAATTGCCTCTTGGGTTGCTAGGCACTCTACAATGTCGTCATCTCAAAGGTTCAAGGACTGCCATGATAAAAATGCATACACATGGCCTACATTTCCCACCAGGAGGTCTTCCAAATGCTGGCCCTCATCATGCTGGGAACAGCTGACAAGCCAGGATCGAACCCCCTTCTCTCAAAATAAACATAGCAGGAACCGCAAAGTGCACACACTCAAAGCTGCATGGTCAGAGCTGTAACCTTACAGCTCCTATAGGGTCACAGCAACATAGAGATGGTGGGTAACCTTACAGCTCCTAGAGGGTCACAGCAACATAGAGATGGTGGGTAACCTTACAGCTCCTAGAGGGTCACAGCAACATAGAGATGGTGGGTAACCTT